TCCCTTCCACCTCCTCCCTACTCCAAAAGAAGATGTCATTTCCCTCGACTGGAACATCTCTGTTGCATTCTCAGTGGAGCCCAGTAAACAGCATCCAGCAGCATCTCCAGGACAGGAAGGCTGTCAGTTTGACAGCTTTCCTGTGGCCCACTGATTCCCAGATTCCAGAGGAAAATGACAGTATTCAGGGAGGCACTGTGCTGTGCAAATCTCCCCCAGACACTGATTTCTGTGTAACTCACATCCCTTTGGAGAAAACCTGTCTCTGAGCACCTTCCTCACAGTCCCAGGTGAGGGACCTGAAGGTACCTCTGGGTAGCTGCAGTTAGAAGGAAATATCAAACTGGCAAGGACTGCAGGCAAAAATGCCTTGGGAAAGGGAGGCAGAGACATTTCTGAGGCTGCTGTGCAAACATCTCCCATTGGGTTGTCGTCCCTGGTGGATTTGCTGTTTCCCTGTTGGGTGAACATCAGGTTCAGCCCCAAGCCAAGCAGTTGTGTCTGGGGGCCCATAGGGAAGCTTGGCCCCTGAAAGCTTGTCCTGAACTCCAAATTACATCTGTTTGGGGCAAAACCTTAGGGGATTTCCTGCTGTTTCCTGCAGAGGCAAAGGCTGACTCTGTGTTTTGGCAGCTAGGCCCAGATGAGCTCTGAAACACAAATCTGTACCAAATAGGAACCAGATGCTGCAGTGATATGAGCCACAGTGTCTGCTGACACTGCCACTGCCTCAGCATGAGGCTGGTGAGGGTTTGCTGCCAGGAGGGTTTGCAAGAGAGTAAAACCAAAAGGAGAGTTACACCATGGCTATTGCTGAGAGAAAGAGGCTGGATCAGAGCATCTCTGACCAAGCACAGAGCCAAGAGCAGAGCCAGCCCCACACCCAGTTGGGCTGGAGGTCTCAGTTTCTGCTGGAGCCTTTCACCCTCAGCTCCCCAGGAGCTGCCCTGGTGCTTCTGGCTCTGTGTGAGAGAGAACTCTGCTTGGCTGCTGAACACACAGCTCATGTTCACATCTTGCCAGGGAGACAAACACTTCTGATGCTGCCAGTGGTGAACATCCCACATTTGCCAGGATCTCATGCTGTTTGCCACAAATGTAATTAGAGGATCAATCATGAGGAGCCAAGGAGAAATCCTGGCATGGCAAACAAACGTTTTTCAGTTCGCTCTCTGAAAAGAACAGGGAGTTGACTGCAAAGGAGGGAAAACCTCTGGCACTGCACTCACAGCCTCTCTCCTGGCTCCTTCTCCCTGGCATTTCCAGCAGCCACACAGATTCCCTCCAGCTGCTCAAAGACCTCTGGAAAGCAGAGGAACTTGGTGAGAGAGTGTCTTGGCTTCCAGATGGCAAAGTGCCTCCCAGGCAGGCTGTGCTGGAACAGGAGCTCAGAGGGAAGGGATCCCAGGGGAGAGAGCAGCAGGGATGTGGCTGCAGGATGCTGCTGGCATCGAGCACGAGGCTGCAACCTTGCTGCTCTGTCCTGCCCTTGACCTCTCAGCAAATCCATATCTGGATTAGCTCAGCCACACGAAAAACCTGTGGCCTGGGTGGGAATTAGAGTGGCTTTGCTTCAGTTAAGTCACAAAGGAATCTGTTCCATTTGGGGCCTCTGCCCAGAGAACCCCAGCGAGGTCCCATGAGGACAGTGCAGAGTCAGGTGCGAGGACAGTGCAGAGTCAGGTGCTGTTTGCCCCTTTCCCTGTATTTGTGATCCAGAGGGAATGCAGATGCCTGGACAAAAGCAGGAAAAAGCACTCACGACTTGAGGCTTTAAGTGCTTCTTTCTTCTCTGCTGAGGAACTGTCAGCAGTAAAATGGAAAGTGCTCCTTCGAGCAGGACTGAGCGACTCACACGACACTCTAATGCCACCAAATGCTGCCAAATGCTGCTACTTCGGTGTCTGGAGAAAAGAACATTCTTTCGAGCTGAAAACCCAAACTCTTCAAAGCTAGGAATGAACAGAGTTGCACATGGAGTTATGGTTTGTCCCATGAGGAAATGCACTTGACAAAGCCTTGAATTGCGTGTTCACAAAGTTTTAGAGTTTCAGTTTCCCTATTCCATGCAAAATATTTGGATTTTTTTCCTGTTTCACCTTCCCAAATTAAACCTTTTTTTTCTAAAACTAGAAACACCAAACCTGTTCATTCATACAATGTTCAGACATGACCTTTTCACTTTCCTCATGATGATCAAAGGCAAAAATCATTGCTCTCCAAACAGCTCTATTGAAAGAAAACCCAAATCTTGTGGAAGCTGCAGACAGAAATGAAGTGAAATTTTGCTGGCTTTATCCAGGGTTTGCTACACACTTTCTACTCTCTAACCCCCAACAAGTAATTCCCAAGGGATGGACAGGAATGATGAGCTGGAAATGGTTCCTCCAACTGCAGCTCTGAGCTGGAACAGCCTGTGATGGGCTGGGAGTGCTGTGAACATCTCTGGCCTTGGCCCCACCAGGCACAGCCCTGAGCACCCAGAGCTCAGGAGGAGCCAGAACAGGCCCAAGGGGCTGATCCTGCACATACCAACCCACTCCACTCTAGACTTTGAAGCTCCTTTTCCACCTTGCTGCCTTTTTCCCATCCTGCATTTGCTGCATGTTTCTGCCTCCTCGAGATAGTTTTGCATTCTCAAAGGGCAACAGGAGAAGAGAAAAAACTGTTGCTGTATTTAGCATTGATTTTTCCCCTTCACTCTGAGTCACAGAAGCTAACATTTAATTAATTTCTGACACTTTGACAGCTTCTGAGAAGACATTTGTAGAGCTATCAAGTGCCTCTGATAGCACTGTCAGACAGACACTTTTTGAATTATCAGCTATTAAGGACCCATATGCAACAAATTTCCAAGGATTATTATCCAAATTGCTCTCTGAATGAGAAAAGCACACAAAAGCTCAGTGAAACATAAAGGAACCATTGTTCCCAGGGGAATTTGATATTTGCAAATGTTTTGCTATTTTGATCACTGAGGTGGCTTAATAAATCCAGTTCACTTGGGCCCGTGCTAAGGGAACTAAAGGGTCTGGTTTGAGAGATCTGGGAACGTGGCCACAGTGCCCAGTCATTGTGGTCTTTGTGGAGATACAGCTCAGGAAACATGGAATACTTGATCTTAGGGAGTGCTGAGCAGAGAATGAGGCACAGGTCACTTTCATAGAATCACAGAACCATGCAGGTTGGAGGAGACCTCTAAGACCATCAAGTCCAAACATGAACCTGTCACTGCTGGAACCCCTAACCCATCTCCTCCAGTGCCACATCCAGACACCTCTTAAACACCTCCAGGGCTGGTGACTCCACCACCTCCCTGGGCAAGTCATTCAGGTGAATCATTTAAGTTGGAAAACACCTCCAAGTTCATCAAATCCAATGGTCAGCCCAGCACCATCCCCATGGCCCACTAAACACATCCTCGAGTGCACCATCCACACATTCCCTCAGCACTGCCAGGGCTGGAGAGCAGGGGCCAACACATCCTCGAGTGCACCATCCACACATTCCCTCAGCACTGCCAGGGCTGGAGCCTCCAGCAGTGCCCTGGGCAGTCTGTGCCAGGGCTGCCTTGGCAGCTCATGGCACACAAACCTCCCTCCAACAGCAACACTGCTGTAGAACACAGTGACAGCCTCACAGCAGTGTGTGCCCAGCTGAGGGAACAGAGCACAGGGAGGTCTAAAAGTCACCTCCAGTGTCTTTGCTGTGCCTGGAGAACACAAACACCAAACCCTAAACAGGTTCTAGGGAAGTCTTACAGCAAAACTCACTGTTTGTTTCTGTGCTACCTCTAACAGAGTGCACAGAGGCAAGGGAGGGTTTGGTGTGATGAGGGTTTGCCATCAGGGTTTGGGCTGAGAGGTGACACCAGTCCTGTCCCCATACTCCCCTTTACACCACAACCTCACTGGGGGAACAGCAGAGGCAGCACAGCCCAGCCCTGACTGCAAAGCTGCTCCTGTCAACTTCCATTACTGTCACAATTCAGGTCTTGGGGTTTTACATTTATTTATTTCGCTGCTGGAGGATAAAAATAAATAAGGAAAAGCAATGGGAAAGAAAAAAAAAAAAAAGGAACACAGCCCAAAGCCCCGTGAAGCACATGGAAAATAAACAAAGTGGGTCATGGCACATCTGCCCTGAGCTGTGAACACCTAACACAGGGCAGGGAATGTCAGGGGAGCCAGGCCAGGAATCCCAGGCACTGCCTGAATCAGCTGAACAACTGACACCGCTGGGCACAGGAATCTGGGGGTGAACTGGGAACAGAAACTAACTTCTGGAATCCCTGACAGGAATCAGTTCAGTCTCCCACCTTGGTGTTTATTGCATTTCCCACGGGAGCTCAGGGTGGGGGGAACAGGCTGCAGAACACCCACGGGTGAGGCAGCACATGCCTAACTGTTTCATTGCGATTCCACATGCTGGCAAAGCTCTGACTGTCTGTCCACCCTCCTTGTGCCAGGGTGGAGCTGGAGCCTGGCACTCTGACCCCCATGGATCCCCTCAACCTCTCGTGGTATGACACTGGGGACAGGAACTGGAGCAAACCACTCAACGAGTCCCATGCCGACCAGAAGCCTCAGTACAACTACTACGCGATGCTGCTCACCCTGCTCATCTTCGTCATCGTGTTTGGCAATGTCCTGGTGTGCATGGCTGTGTCCAGGGAACGAGCCCTGCAGACCACCACCAACTACCTGATCGTCAGCCTGGCCGTGGCAGATCTCCTGGTAGCCACTCTGGTCATGCCCTGGGTGGTGTACCTGGAGGTAGGTGCTCAGCTCCCTTTGGCAGAGAAGGGGGGGAAGGTTCTCAGCCTGCAAAGCAGCTCCTGCATTCCCCCAAAGTGCTTTCCATCCCCTAAACTGGTCAGATTTGTCAGGAGATGGATGGGATAGGATCCAACTGCACTGCAAGTGTGGCCTTTAAACCTAGGACCAAGAGGGAAAGTGCCTTAATTTTGGTCTCAAAACTACATGAAAATGAACCTGCAACTACACCACTGGCATCACACTAAACCCACATCAGACAGCAACCACACTCCTGGGCCTGAAGGGCTGCAGTAATGGGGAAGCAATTGTAGGGGCAGGATGGAAATCCAGAGCCTTTATGGTTCAGGTGAGCTGCTTTGCACTCTGCCCCCTTAGCACGTTGCATTGGGATAAAACTGTTGAGTTTACAGCTAATTTTCAGGCACTCACTTCGAGAGAAAATGCTAACCCAGAGAGGAGAGAGGAGAGCAGGGGAAGGAGCCATCATCAATGAGCCCATTAAGGACTAACACAGAGCAAAACAAACCCACTGCCACGGCATGGGCTGTGGGAAAGCGCAGTGCTAATTATCACTCCAGTTAATTATTGTTTTCATGGCACTCACTAAATGTAAAGCATTGTGAATCTGCTCAGGCTTATTAAGGTGACCACAGGCTGGTTGGGAGTGCAGTCAGTGCCTCAGGGACCAGCTCTGCTCCTCTGCTCCAGCCCTCAGACCCTTCAAGCAGAGGCTGATGCTGTGAGAGGCTCCTGCTCTCTCAGGCCCAGTGATAAGAATCTCCAAGACACTTGTTTTAATGTGGAAGAACAAAGTATAAATGATGCAAAATCCTTTCCCCTTTCTGGGCTCACAGGCACATGGGGTTGGGCAGGAGTCACAGCTGCCTTAGTCTACCAAGTAGGACAATTTTTCCATGCTCTGTGTCACAAGCTCAGACTAAACCTGATGTCAAAATGAAATACTTGGAAGCAACCTCAATGCAAACACATCTTCTACCTCCAAACCCCTGAGGTTTCCTGAGGAAAGCACCAAGAGAAAGAACTGCTGCAGTTCACAGCTTCCCCCCTAACCCCTAAACTCTGCCCTGAGGACAGGGATTTTGCAGAGGTTTCTATCTGGCTGGAAACCTTTGCCTTTGGGCAAATTCCCAGCAAAGTTCCTGATGTAACTGTCTCTTAAGTGCTTTTTTAATCACTGAGTATTCACCTGTCACTCAGGCTTCAATGCAGTCATTCTTCCTTCTTTATGCTGCCTATGGTTATGTATATCAGAGCAGAAATAACTGAAGAATAGATATCTTATTCATTCTATTTTCAAATGCAGTAGGACTCTATTTTTATTAGAGGGAAATATACTTTTTCCATCACATGTCAAGCACAGCAGTCCGAATAATTGCTCTTAACTTCACTGGCAAAGTTCACTTGCAATAGCAGAAGTGCAGAGAAAAAGGCTACTGGGAACAGGGAGCATTCTCATTAGTTCTTTGTCTTTAGCACATCATGTAGAGTGTCAGGGAATGCTCACTCTGAATTAAGCTCATTTCCTTCACACAAAATAAAGGGGAGGAGTGGCTGCCCTGATTTTTCAGTCTAAGAAATGAAGCTCCTGCTTGTCTCCTGCTGACCTTTGTGGGTATCACTAAAAAGTGCCTAATGAAAAGCTGCAGACTCGATTAGAGCAATTAAAATGAAAGCATTTCCTTCCTCTGCTCTGAGATATTTCAGAGACCTCTTTGAGCCTCTGCATTGTTCCTTCCAACTCCGAGGAGACCTCTACTCCTGATGGCACTGGAGTATGAGCCCAGGTTGGTGGTGGCTGTTGGGGCTGCCCAAATCAACACAGAGCAGCAGGGTGGAATGGAATGAGGAGGGATGAAATCACACCAGCCCTTGGGGAATGCTCCAAGGAGTGATTTGGATGGAGCAGGGCATTGCCCTTGAAGCAGCAGAACTCCAACAAGCCACAGGCTCCTCTGTCTCTGTGTAAAACTCTCCCCCTTAGCCCTCTGCACTGCACAGCCCCAGGGAACTCTTTCCTGACCTCATCCTATCTTTGCAGGTGGTTGGTGAGTGGAGGTTCAGTCGGATCCACTGTGATATCTTTGTAACCCTTGATGTTATGATGTGCACTGCCAGTATCCTCAACCTCTGTGCCATCAGCATTGACAGGTGAGGGCTCTGTGGCATGTCAAAATCCATGGGAGCAAGTCACAGCCACCTTTATGTGCTCTAATTTTACCTGGGACTCAGAGGCTTGAAAATGGTGAGAGCTACTGTCGTTGGTGTCTTTTGAAGAGCAATTTAGAGGACCTCAGAGAGCTCTGGGCAGGGATTCTGTCAGTAGAAGACAGAGAAACACTGATCCTGAGAATGTAAAGGGAATTGTCTGCAGGGTTCCTGTTAGCTGGCTCCTCTGACACAGTGGGTTTGTCTCCCTGGGCAGGTACACAGCAGTAGCAATGCCAATGCTCTACAACACACGCTACAGCTCCAAGCGCAGAGTCACCATCATGATTGCTGTGGTCTGGGTGCTCTCCTTTGCCATCTCCTGCCCTATCCTCTTCGGCCTCAACAACACAGGTGAGTGCTTTGCCTCCTGGGGGCATCTTCCTGGCTTTACTGGCTGCCCAGTTACAAGTCAGGAATACAGGGGGGGATCAGGTTTAAGGTGCATTGGGATAAATCCATCCCTGTTCATCCCTCTCCTGATGTCAGCTCAGATCATTTATAAGCTGCTTCTAGATCAGTTTCAACTCTTGGTCTTCCAGACCAGTGTTTTAGAGTCATCAGAACTGAGGTTAGGTGGAAGTTTACACAACACTAGTCCATGTTACAATAACATTTGTCCACTTCGAAGTTCCTCTTACATGAAAACAGGCAGAAAGGAAAGGCAAGGGACACAACCTTCAGTGAGACAGGAGAGGAAAGGCCTGGCAGTTCAGCCAGCAGGTCCACGGGCAGATTGGCTGAGAACCAGCATGGGATCAGTGGGCTTTGAGCTGTAAGGCTGTGTGACTATGACCCCAGGGGAACCTGCTGTTCTGTGATGGTCACCCCTAGAACCTGAACCCTGCCTGGGCACCTCTGGGCCTTGTGAAAGAGGAAAGATGAAGGGAAAAGCTCTCTCTCCTAGCAGCAGGGAGAACAAGCCTGAAACCCTGTGTTGCAGATGAGAAGGAGTGCATCATTGCCAACCCTGCCTTCGTGGTGTACTCCTCCATCGTGTCCTTCTACGTGCCCTTCATGGTCACTCTGCTGGTGTACGTGCAGATCTACATGGTGCTGCGGCGCCGCAGGAAGAGAGTCAACACCAAGCGCAGCAGCCACATCCTGGACTCGGACACACATGCCCCTCTGAAGGTATCTGCACCTCTGGCCTCAGCAGTCTCCATCCTTCCCCCTCCCTGCTCCACTCCCCAGGCGATTCCTCCTGTCCCCAAACGACTCTGGCTGGACTAGGTGAAGTCCTGGATCGTAAAGGTCCTGTGCTGGTTTGGAGTCCCAGTGCACACTCTGGGTTAGCAGGTCACTGGCTGGTGATGTTCCATCAGCAGATCTGCACTGGGAGGTGCTGCACTAAGCAGAGGGCATTTCCTCTGGCTCTGCTGGATTTGGGTTGGGGTACCCAAGGCTACAGGTTACACTATTGTCTGAGTCGCTCCTGCTGCTGGGGGGGAAGAATCAGAGGATCAGCAGTGGTTTGAGTTGGAAGAGACCTTAAAGCTCATCTCTTTCCAGCCCTGCCTTGGGCAGCAGCACCTTCCACTAGACCAAACTGCTCAGAGTCCCATCCAACCTGGCCTGGAACACTCCCAGGGCTGGAGCAGCCACAGCTGCTCTGGGCACCCTGTGCCAGTGCCTCACCACCCTCACAGGGAGGAATTCCTTCCTAATATCCAATCCAAGCCTGCCCTCCTTCAGCTTAAGGCCATTCCCCCTCATCCTATCATTCCATGCCCTTGTGAAAAGCTCCTCTCCAGCTTTCTTGTAACCTTCATGTCCTGGAAAGCTGCTGTAAGATCTCCCCCAGGTTCGATGGAAAAGGTTTGTGTGGTTGGGGGTGCAAACCACATCACTGGGAACGACACCTCTGCAGGGAAACAGCCTCAAAGCATGAGCTGTGTGTGAGTGGAGCCCAGCTGGGAGGGCTGAGTGTGAAACAGCTTGTCAAAACGCTGCTCTGGCAGCACATGCAAAACAACCAGTGGGAATGTGCAGTCCCAGAGGCACAAGCTCCAAACTGTGCTGCCTCAGGGCCAGTGCCACGTCAAGGAAAGGAGGCAGAGAGACAGGGAGAGACAAACATCAGCAGGTCTCTGTGGTTTCCTGCCTTTGGTGAACAGCACAAGGGATAGTCACCTCCATCACTGCTTCTCCAGAGTAGTTTTCCATCCCCCTCAGCACCTTATCACACTGATTAATTTCTGCCTCATGCCCTATGTTTGTATTTCCACGTGCCTCCCTTACCAGCTTCCCTTCCCAGTTCCTCTCTGCTTGTGTAACCTCTGAGCTGGTGCTTGCCCCTTAGGACAAATGCACTCATCCAGAAGACGTCAAGCTCTGCACAGTTATTGTGAAGTCCAATGGGAGCTTCCAAGTTAATAAGCGCAAAGTGGTGAGTGTTCAAGGGAAGTGGTAGCTTTTCAGAGCATTTAGCTTTTCCCTTCCTCCCCCTCAGGAGGCTAAATTCATTTATGTAGGGTGGGAGAAAAATAAACCAAGAACAAAGGTTACCACTCAGTCTCAATTTAAATATTCTTCCCATTCCTTGGAGTGAAGCAGGGGCTGAGATCAGAGAGCTCCAAAGCCAGGCTAATCTCATCCAAAGATCAGCTCTAAAGCCATGGCATTTCAACACTTTTTGTCTTTGGCTTCCTCCTCCTCTCTGTTATTACTTTCAGTCCTGGTCTGCACTGGCTTTGTTGGGTTTTGCCCGTTGATTTCATTTCTTATTTGCATTCTGAAAAGCTAAATAAAATTCCCCAAGGAGCTGAGCGAGCGTCTCTCCCATTTCTGAGCCTCTGTGCAGTACAGGAGAGTCCTTCAGTGCAGTTCTGTCAATCCCATCTACCCAAAAGTATCCTTATCTGCAAACACTTCACAGCCCTTTCTCCAAGCACCACGTAGGGAGGGAGAAGAGGGATTGATTGTTCTCCTACATCATCCAGCTTCACTCTAAGGAATGCTCATTGCTGCTCTCTGGATATTTATCTGTCTTTATGTTGTGGACATTTGATTCTTGTCCAGGAGGCAGAGAGCCACATGGAAGAGCTGGAGATGGTGTCCAGTACCAGCCCCCCTGAGAAAACCACCTACAAACCCCCAGCACCAAGTAACCATCAGCTGGTCGTGCCAGTTGCTTCTACTCGGGGCAACAACTCAACCCTGCAGTCATCCCTCAACAGCCCTGGGAAGGTGGAGAAGAATGGACATGCCAAAGAAACACACCACACAGCCAAGGTCTTTGAGATCCACTCTCTGCCCAACGGCAAGACAAGGAACTTTCTCAAGGCTGTGACCAGGAGGAAACTGTCACAACAGAAGGAGAAGAAAGCCACCCAGATGTTGGCCATCGTCCTCGGTGAGAGCAGCACTGGTGTTCCTGCAGAAAACCAGCAGCTCCCCAGGCCTAGGGCAGCCAGCTGGATGCCCAGTGAGGGCTGGTTTTCCAGCCCTCCACAGAAATTACTTCCCTGATACATTAGAGGATATGTAGACAAGAGGCTGCCCAGGGGAAGGGTCTCTCCTTCCCAGCCATGGCCAGCTGGCAGTGCTGGACCAAGGGCTGGGAAAGGTGTCCAGCTGTGGGGTGTCTGGACTCCCAAAACACAGCTGGGTGCAGGGGCAGGAGCTCATGGGCTTCTGGAACACAGAGTCAGCATAGCTCAGCAAGGACAGAGTTTTTGGTGCAACTGCTCTGATTACATGAGCAGAGAAGTTTCTTTAGTACGTGGACGGAATACAGACTGTGAGACTTCACACGCAAACAGGAGGCATATTCCTCTGGGGAATATTTTCCCTTTACACCCAGAAGAACCTTACTGTTCTCTGTCTCAAAGCTTGTCCAGCTTTCAGCAATCAAAATCTGTCTCTTTTCTTTTCCCCCAGGTGTTTTCATCATCTGCTGGCTCCCGTTCTTCATCACTCACATCCTCAACATGCACTGCGACTGCAACATCCCCCCAGCCATGTACAGCGCCTTTACGTGGCTTGGATATGTCAACAGTGCTGTCAACCCGATTATCTACACCACCTTCAACATCGAGTTTCGCAAGGCTTTCATGAAGATCCTCCACTGTTAAAGTCAAACAGCCACCACATTTTGAAGCAGGAGGAGCGAGAGAAGCAGACGCGCACACCGACGGCAGCCGTGGAGGGGCTCGAGCTCCTGCGTTGGGCATGAGGCCTGGAGGGTCCCAGCACTGCCATGCCCACACACCTGCTGGGGATGTGACCAGGTGGGAGGTTCTCTCATCCCTCGAGGTGACCTTTGGCCTCTGGGACACCAGTCCCAAGGGCACTTTTCCGAGCTCCCCTCGCACTGTCTTTCGAGTGGAAGCAAAACTCAAGGCGCGCTCGCTTGGTTCTCGCCTGTGGCCAACTCCAACCTGGAGTGCATTAACCACAGACAGTAGCAGAGCCACGTGGAGGTGGCGATGGGTCACGGCCGCCGTGGGCTCACGGGTGCCATCATCCACACAACTCTCACCAAAGACAAGCCCATCTTTTCTGCTTCACAGGAGGAGCCACGACAGACCCTGCAGAAACTCCATGCAACAGCTTTGCCTTCACCTCCAGCTGACTTAACCCAGTGTTACACTGCTTAAGCCTTGAGAAATAAACCACTTTACCAGGGCCCCAAGTGGGTCAAGAAGGTTCTGCCACCCACAGACCCAACCCTGCAGCAACGTGGGCCTACAAGCAGGAAGGAGGAGGCATCAGGTTCGGGTTGGACCACTACGTCGGTGTAAATATGAATCGATAGGATGAACTGAACAGGAGCCCAAGCCAAAAAACGGATGGAGAGAGAAACTCAAGAAGTGGTACCTTGTCTTGCATGGTATACATCAAACAGGACACCCTCATCTCCCATCAGCCAGCCCAGCAGCAACTTCTGCCCACCAGCATCTCATCTCCAGCCTCTTACCAGGAGTTACAAACTCGGTGAGGAGTGGCACGTGGTGAATGTAGAAACAGTGTGGCAGGTGAGGCACCTGCAGCCCTGTCTGCCTCAGGAGGGAGCCTGAACATGCCAGCTAAGCTAGGTGTGCTTCTCCTCACCTGGGCCAGGGTGCCACGGAGCCGAGGAGCACCTCAGATGTGATTTGCCTATGCCTCTCACCAGAGAGCGCAGAATAACTTTGTGCCTAATTTAAACTCACAGTGAAGGAGATTAAACTGTGTGTTTGGGAAAAAGCCAGAATAAAACCCAAGGAAGTCCTTAGCTGGACCAGCTCCTGTGTCCACATTAGACTGTGGAAAGTTCTGGATGTTTCCAGCATCCCTTACTCTCTGGTTTCTCTTTCCCATGGATTGAAAGCCCCTAAGAGCAGAGTCTCACCACGCTCAGTCTGGCATGGCCAAATCCACACTCTACTTCCTAATTGTACTCAGCTCACAGTATATTTTGCAATATCTCTGTAAATAAAACATAGCAAGGTGAATAAAATGACATGGAAATAGGTCTGGCTAGAAATTCCTGCAGGCTCTGGAGCAGCAGCTGATTGCAATAGCCATATGCAGAGGCAAACTCCCACGGTGCAGTTACCTGCTGCTTTCTAAAGCTGTTAAATCACAACCTGGAGAGCAATATAATCCCCTTTCTCTCTATGCACTTTGTGGAATAGTCACATAGTTTCTGCTCCAGAATAGCTGAAGTTCTCTGCCAAGGGTTTCTTTTATCCCCTGGTTTTCCTGTGTTGCTAACAAAGCATTTCCCTGTGCTGAGAGGGTGTGATCCAGCTCGGTAGCAAGAAGAGATTGTGTCAAGCTGCTCTAACACATCATCTCAGCTTTTTTCTGAACAGGAGTCCCACCTCAATCCACAGGTTTCCATCCTAACCCTGGTGTTCCTGGAAGAGGCTGATATCTGGTGTTACTAGCATTTAGACCACGGACTTGTCCTACTTTTGAACATGTTCTTCCAGGTCTGTTCAGAACTGAAAAACTGGAAACACTAACTCCAGGGATCTCAGGACACATTAGCTGGTTTGGTTTTTTTTCCCCAGTTTTAACCAAGCAAGTTCACTCCATGATGGTAATCAGCTCAGACTGGTAGCACTTACAAAATCCATAGGATAATGGAAAGTCAGTAGGGGTTTGGGTACAAAAGTAGTAACAAGCTACTGGTCAATTTTCTGAGCTATTCATAAGCAGCAAGAAACCTTTTGACTCAGTCAATTAACAGATGTGGAGCTGAATCACATTAGATAATAATATGCAGATAGACAAAGAAGCTTTAGAGCATTTGGAAGTTGCCATGGGTGATATTTGCCCTGCACTAAAGCCTGGTGTGAGCCCTCAGGGTAAGTGGAATGTGACCAGTGTCTTAACTCTGTGCCATACTTTTACTTTGTGTTCAGTGCTGACCCAGGACAAACCATCACTCCAACACTGTGCACCTTGTTCCACAATTCTGTGTCTGTGTCCAGATGCAGAACCTTATAGCAAAGCTCACCTGAGCCACTACATGGAAAACTCTTCCAAAATGTCATGGAGGAAAAAAAAAAAAGCTGCTGAAAAAGGCCCAATGTCCTTCATGTGTTTGCCAACTTGTACCACAAAACCCAGGTGTCATTTCCTAGAGCTCAGGTGTTCCTTGTGAGGAATCAGCTGCAGCCCATCCTTCATCCCAGTCAGGTTTTAAGCCACTCATTCCCAACACTCCAGGCTCAAAGGTATCTTGTGGGCATATGTGTACCCCCACTGCCCTGGGGAAGGTGGCAATGCCATGTCTGGGCAGCTCTGGGCCAGGTTAGCCCTTCCCATGAAACATCTACGCTTAAAGACAATGAACTAAAGCACTTTCCAAACCTTCCTAACTCTGTTTGAGAGAGGACCAAAACACATCATCACCTCTGGCTTTACCAAGGATGATGCCAAGAGCAAGGAGAGTCTTTGCCAGCACCTGCCACAAGGACAAGCAGCCTGGGTTGGGATGGAAACTGTGGGAACTCCTAGAGCATCCTGAGCTGCAACGTGAAGGACACTGAGGCCTCTTGCCCACAGATGTGCACCTGGCAAACACAGACCTCACTGTCCCTTCCACTCTGGACAAAACCCTGTTTTCCCCAAGCCTCCTGCTGGCAGGACATGCTGGTGATGGAAAGGTACTGCCAAGCTTTTCAACACTCAGTAACCATTTCATTTCTTTGCTCCTGAAGAACTTCAGCCCCTTGCTCCAGTCCCACGTGGAGATTCGTTATTTAGAACTGAAGCTTTAGTTCTGCTTATGGAGTCTTCCTGTTCCTGCTTCCCCTCCCTGTGATTCCCAGCTCCCTGCACCCCCAGCCAGGTTTGAATCCACAGCAGCCACTCCTGCCTGCTCTGTATCTGCATTTCCCTGCTTGCTCCCACCACACCGAACTGCTCAGCCTCCTGACTGAAGGGGAATGAA